AGCACAACTATTTCTCAAGTCAGGTTCACAGTTAAAGAAAAATCAAAGATGAACTCAAGTGCTTATTTCCCTGTCTGATCAGAAATACCTGATGATCTGTGGAATGCAGCAAACTGCCCCCCACTTACCATTTTCAACTGAATTTCATCTGGCACTTGCAAGATACTAGATGGGACTTGAATAGTCAGCATTTCACAACACTGGAAGAGGGGAAAAAAATCTCAACTACACAGAGCTCAGGTGTATACACACATACAAAACCCTGTTTTCCTGAGATTTCAATCCAATCCACCAAATTAGAAGGTCTAATAAGCACCTGAAATTGCTTATAGTGATCTGATTAAGGTCTCCAAACCTCTGCCAGACATCACAAATTTTGTCATCAAATTGATTCAAATAAAGCAGTGACTGATTTGGTCTACTGTTTTTTGAAGGCCTATCAAAATTATTACTTGATTGCAAAACAGGTATAAATTATAGCTGGTAAACACTTGGGAGTGATGATTTATCATTTCATGTGTGTCTGAAAATATGGCCGAAGGCTTCTCTTGCAAACCTTTAGAGTGCAACTACTATTAATTAATGATTATTGCACTCTTTTGTAAGTGGAAAAAAGATCAAGTAGTCAATTCAGCTGACTATACTTAAATCTACTAAACCAAGAACAAGAACTGCAGCTGGTCCACTACTGCCATGTAGGAACAGTTTGGGGTAAATCAATTCACTTCTGACAAATATATCCCTCCTAGTTCTATCTACAGAAGTACCTGAACATCTTCCATTTACTTTCTAAGTTGCCATCAAATCCCGTTTCACCTGAACTACTAAATCCCTTTCTAGTTATTGCTCCTCCCAGGTACTTCTAGGCTCATTCTGTATATTAACAATACCTAGCATTACAGAAAAGGGGAAAAAATAACCCCATACACTCTTTCCATGTGACTCTCCATGTCCAAACTCTCACAAGGTGTCATTTTATCAGACAAATGTATACTTGCAAAGAAAACAACAGAATTAACCTTAGAGGACAGTATATATCTATAATCCCTCCCCACACTCAGCACAGAGACACTTGTAATAAACAGGCTTTCTGAAGGAAAGGTACTGTATCATTTTCCAATTGCAGTGCAATCAATCACTTACAACATTGTTTTTGTTTTATTAGATGCTTCTCTGTCTGAAGTGACAAGAAGGCACTGATTATTACTTTCTCCAGTCCTGAATCTAGCATTTGTCCCAGCAGTAGGGGAAGGGGATAGACAGTGTACTGAACTACACTTTCCCATTCTTGTGCAAATAGTACCACAGTTGCTTAATTTTCCTGAAATATATAAGTACATATTTTCTACATTCACTGCTAGGTGTCTGACAGTAATAAATGAAGGCTACTATTTGGAAAAACTTGTCATAATTATTTCTAGATGCCAACGCATTCCACTAAATATTTCTACAGTACTGCCAGTGTAAACACTAATGAAATAGCCAGAGCAGACATCATTATCACTTATGTTTCAGTGATGCCATGTGAATACGCAGGAGAGCAAACATTGCCCTCCCACAAACCCTTCTCTCCCATCCTTTACAGGATTCCTGTGCTTTTACATCAACTGATAAAACAACTTTTAGTCATCTGCACTGGCATATGCAGGCACTTGGTACATTTTGAGCCTGCATTTTTGGCAATACATCCTAAAATTTAGCAACAGCCAAGGCTTTGATTCATAAATCATAAGATCACAAATAACCAAACAGATACTTTCCACTTTTAATCCAGTATCTAATCTAATCTGCACATAGAACAGTTCAAATAATATGTCTTGCCCACTTCCCTTAGCAAAACAGACAATGGCAAACTACCAAGAATGGTTAAATATTTCTGCTGCCTGCCCTAATATTCTCTGCCCTTAGTTTTGGGACTGGCAGTAGCTCAATAACTCAGAATTTCATAATTTATTAAGAAATACACAGTAAGATAAATGAATAATAATAAGTATATAGGGATGTTGTTTTTTCTTCTAAATCCTGAATGAAATAATTCTGAAAAAAAAATTTGCATAAATCAGAAAGACGCTTTTTATGCATAAATTAGCTTCACTTTTCACCATCTATTTTACTAGTAGGAAGAATCTTGCAATGTAACAGGACACAAACTTTTTCCTAAGGAAAACTAACATATGCACTATTTTTGAGTCATGTAAAAAATACCAGAGCAGAGAAATGGTTCAAAGAGAAGACTTTTTCTGTGGCAGAGAACTGACCAGACAGTAAGTTAAATCTACTGATGATCTTAAAAATTCTCCAATTATGGGTGCATGTCTGAGTTTTGCCCACAGTGTTTACATGACCTCCAATGAACATCCTAAACTACAGCCAATATTCACTAGAACTAAGTACTGTGTAAACAACTGTGAAAAAATATACAGGAAAAGCTTTGCCAAGTTTGTAGCCTGCAACTGTATACAGTGGGAATTGATGGAGCTTTGGCAATACAAATAGTGCCCCAAATCAGTTCTCCACACAGAGAAAGTTTCCAGTGATAAAAGACACATGTAAGGCACGTTCTTTTAAAAACCTGACTCCCATGAAGCAGCTCATTGTTCATAAAGGCAATGGTGTTTACACAGGAAAAAGCCCAGTTTCAACAAATCTGAAATCCAACAGATGTTTCCTTCTATCTAAGCAAAACAAGTTTGTGACCCATTTCTGCCCAATCAGAAAGCTTCAAAATTATTTCTGCAGGAAAAAAACCCTCCATATTTAACAGAATGATCTTGGAAAATAAATTCAATAAAACTTGTATTTCAAAATTGCAGCTATTACTAAAGTGAATTAACTTTAAAAAAATCAGTGTTCTTTAAAGAGAATGTCTTATGATCTGGACTTGAAGAGATGCAACATGATAATTTTGGTTTGTGAAAGAGAAAGTAAGGCAGACAGCTAACTCACAAGTGCTCTGCATTGCAATTACTCTCCTCAAATCAATTTAACCTCTCTTCTTCATACTTCCTGCAACACTCCTCTGAAGTTCCTGTCTGCTCTTGGCTTCTCCAAATCTCATAAGACTTCTCTTCCTCTGCAAACATCAACTAAATAACAGAAGTGGCTAAGCAGAGTATAAAAGTGAATAGTTTAATTTTATTTTACAGTATACACGAATCATATAGCAAGCCTAAGCACTTTGTAGAGGTGTAGAAGACAAAGAATTTCAGGCTCTACCAAAGTTGTGTAGTTGAGACTGTGCTGTTACACACCACACTTTGACTTACCAGCAGGAGAAAGTTTCAGGACTTTCAGGATGTACCTGGTGGTATTACACCATTACAGAGCAAAACTGGATCTGGTGACATCCTGTTGCACAACTGAATGCTGCAAAGACAGCATCTTCCAAGGAGTTGGTGCACTTTCTGTGCCCAACAATACTGAACTGAGATGGATCACAAATTGCTGAGGATTTTATCAATTTTTATGCCTTTTATAAAATGCAGCTGCAGAGGTCAAGCAAATTACATTAACAGCATACAAACATCAAAGCCAAAGTTTAAATGGTCTTAAACATGAGCATGCCAAGTGTAATCATTGTTTGCAACCTTCTGTGCCAACTTTACCTCCACGAGTCCCTTCTTCACTGGATTTCACTCCAATTATTTCTTGTCCAGATATGTTGTGAGCTTTATATAAAGTTCCCACCTCTGTAATGTTTTATGTGCATCACCTTCAGCACTGAGGTTCCTTACCCCAGCTAAAGCCTCTGCATGCCTTGTGATGAATATAAGAAGGGAGAACTGAAATCTGGAAACCAAGCAATGTCCCTTTATTACAACCAACACGAATATCAGCAACGTGAAGGAGACCCAGTGAGATGCAATTCAAATCTGCCTATCAAACAATTATAGCAGAAAGTAGAAGGGGTTTTCTCTCTCCTCCAGTAATCCTACTTGTCCTTTAAATAGATCTTAAGCATAATCTTGAACTGTCAGCATTTCTGTAAAGAAATACCAGCTCAGACCTAATTGGATTTGTCAGACAATCACAGCCCAACAATTCTCTGAGATCTAACAGCTGAACAGCTGTGGGACAACCTTCCACATTATAATATAAGAATATGAGTTCATTTCAAGAGGGAGTTTTTCTTCTGAAATTAAGTGATAAAAAGACATAATTTGTTGCACAGAACCCTGTGCCTTAGAAACATCATGATGTGGTGTGGCATAGCTGAGGTTGTGTGAGCTGCCCCATATAGAAAATTATCTGCAGTTAACTGTTCAAACACATTGGGCTGATCTGAATGTAGGAAAATAAGGGTAAAAAAATTACCAAGAATTATGACTTGAATATGTAACAGCAGCATTTGAAAAGAAAACAAGTATATATTATATATAAACAAAAAAATAGCAGAATATGTATCTTAGCTGAAGAGCAGAAATACTTCATATTCCTCTGGACTTTTTGTGTCACCTACATATATAAACATACACACAAAAACTTACTCTCTGTGTCATCAGCCTCCTGTTCTGTTCAGGCTTCTGTGGGCTGGAAAAATGCATTTAAAAGAAAATCTAGGGGATAATGGCCTAAAGGCCATACTGTCCTCATCCTTTGAAATGATGGAGAGGTTGCATGTTCAGGAAGTACAATAAACCAGATCTTAAAATGCTTCCAATGCCTACAAATTGTGATTTCTTTAATGAAGATCTGGATTCCTTTGTATTTATCTGGATGCAGAAGAAAAGTTCTTATACAGATTTTATATTGAAAATTGAAGTGATGTTCATTTCCCTAATTTAAAAATAACTGTCATACAGGTTTTAACATTTGTATTTAGAAGAATATCAACTTAAGTACATCAACAATGTTATTTTGTGTATTTGCAATGGTAACCAGCATGCATGTGACTGAGGGATATAAGCAAACCTTGCACTGAATTCCAGCCCATGCTTTGACCTGGGGCAAAAGCAAATTAATCTATTGAGCATATTATTATTAACAGTCAGGAGTTATACACTTGCCTACCTGTTGGCTTATCCACACCAAGGAAACCAGCCTGTCCCAGAATTTTAAACACTTTATGTGCTGGGAACTGTCCTTCTTCTTCCCACTTATCCACAAAGGGATTAATCTCCTTGTCAATGATCTAGATTTGGAAAACAAATTATACAAGTTATAAACACAGGGATCCTACACAAAAACTTTTGACTACTTTCACCTAAAAACTGTAATTCAAGAAGAAAAATAAAAAAGCAATATACAAGGAAAAGCCTACTAATTATCTTACTTCCTGTTGGATATCCTTATTTTCCACTCACCCACAACTATTACAACAAATGTAATGAGGCAATGTAAATAATTATTTTAGCAATTACTACTAGAATAGGCCATCAGGGTTAATTTAAGTCTCTCCAAGGTCTATGAAAATGGCTGTTTCCCCCATTATTTGTTACTTTTTTGGGTACAGTTTCTAGAAAGTGACAGGAAGGAAAATCTGGACTATCCTCAAAAGAACCTTGGCAAAAAAATGTTGATCTGTTCTTGATGACCATCTATAGTACCAAGAAAATCAAGTAGAAGAGATTAATTTCCTTTCCCTTTGCCTGACACATGCTCAAGGAAGTCGGTGCTGTTTTGGGTATGTCTGTATTTAGACTTCCTCACAAGTCTGACTGAACATTTACTGGAAAGTAAGACCTTCTTCCAAGAATTGATAATATTCCAAATCTAGTCCCTGAGAAACTCTTGACTGTGCTACTGCTAGTGCTGCACACCTTCCAAAAGTCAGTGCCCTAAGCTGCCTGGCTACAGTCCTTACTCTGTTCAGGTTGCATTGTTCTTTTCCCTTTGCAAGCAAAACACATCTGCAGTACAGCCACTACATGCAGCAACATTTCCAGGTTTCAGGGCACAAGAGTTGGATGTTTCGCTCCACAAAGTTCCAGACTTCCCTGGGAAAGGAGCAAAGTGGGCAGGCTGCAGGTGTGTCCTTGCTGCCTACCAGCTCATCATGATGCAGCTGGTGGTGCTCACCTCTACCCACCCCTGCAGCCCAAACCAGCCTAGCCACAGGCTGCTTCTGCCATGCAGCCAAGGGCACCACATACCTCAGTCCAAATGGGAAACATCCTCTCCGCAAACTAAACCCGACCAAAACAAGCACCAGTCCCAACAGGAAGGTAGTGCTTTAACCTGTGACTATGATTTTATTACTATTCTGTTTCATGAAGAGAGAATTTGTTATTTCAAGAACTTACTCCTCTTAGTCTTCTTTCCCCACTAAATAAACAAGTCCTGTGGTGCTAACTATTTCTTGAGCTGGAAATAGAATCCTCTCCCTCCATGACTGCTGTATTCTTGAGACCCTGCAAAAATTTCTTCCAAACTATGTATTTATTGCACATTCTTTGGAGAATTTCAGCCCATATATGGCTGCTTTCTGCCTTCCAGTTGGTCACAGAAATAAGAATACTTGAATATTGGTAATAGGAAAATTACTTTTTCATTTCTCTCACCAAATTCTGAGAAATTCGTATACTGAATGTTCAAGTAATTCAGCAATTATTGTCTCTCTCCCACTGTTATATTGATTAACACAGGCCTAATGATCAATAGTAAAAGACCACTTGGCAGAACCCTATCTAGGAGAGCTCATATTTCTCTTCTGTACTGCCATATCCCACATGCTCAGATCCTAAGATGCCGACCCTCAATGTTGAAGGTGGTGAAACACCCTTTTGGCTGTAATAGCATCTGGCAATGCTCATTGGGTAACACCCAGGGGAATACCCGAAAGAGCATACAAAAAGTTATTCCAGTGTTTTGATGGATCTTGGCAAAAATATGTGGTGAATATACTAATATAGAGTTTTGTTTGTTGTAGCTGGTACTGGGCCAAGTTTTTTGTAGCCTACATATAAAGCTACTTTTGAAGTTAACCAGATTCTGAATGACTAAGCCACGCTTTCTGCAGGTTTGCTCCTGTGTATTTGAGTAAAACACAAATTGCTTAACAGAACTGACTTATTACCAGGTGAGGTTTGCCACATTGAGTAAAACATGATCTTCCTTGCACGACACAACAATTAAACCCCCAATGACAACCTCACTGCACAAACCATAACTTGAATAGGCTTTAAAGATTTTTTTTTTTTAAAGCAGAGTCCAGATACTGATAGCCACAGTCTCTTCTTACCTATTTGACTTTTCACTATGGTTTTGCAGGAACACGTTCCCTTGTACAACCTCATAAAAAAGTAAGCCAAATTCCTGAAGAACTACAGTACTCCTGGCTGCTGCTTCATCACTGATTACTGGGTATTGTCATCCCTTCCTAAAAAAGCTAACTGAAACAAGGAGGGGTATTTTTAAAGGGTCAAGACAACAGTGACTGAATGATCACAAAATTAAACATTTGCTTAAAAGCTTGCTGAGGACAGGTCAAATAATGCTTTGTACTCACTCATCTGATTTGTCCCTTCCCTTGGCTTTAGCTATTTCTTCACATTTGTGCCCCCAGAAAAATATTTTACACTTGAACTGCAGGTACATATTATGTAGGCAGCTTAACTTAAACCCTAAGGTACCTATGCAGTGTTTGGCAATTGTACAGAAGCAAGGTTTCAGCAGTATGTGAGCAGTATGTGGTCTGCTTATTTATATATGCTTTATCATGAGAAACATGGAAATCATGGATGCCAGAATTTAGACTTGCGTCATCAGGATACCAACTATAAAAAGATCTAAAACTTCTAGCAGTAGAAATATTTAGCACTGCCTACTACAGATGTCATCTGACAGATACCCTCAGCCATAAAAGAAATCTTTCCACCTGATCTAGCTTGCCAAATCTTCATAGCATTGGTGATATAAAGTTGATTAAGGAGCCATATAACTTTCCCACCTGCTGAAGTACCATTATACCACAACAAAAATTGTTATTTTTTGTTGTGGTATACTGGGCACAGTAAGTCTTATAGATGGAACTGGTGTTTTTCTCAGGCTACTTCTCCAAACACTAAAGATGCAAACTTAAAGGACTAGGCTCTGGAGTCAGCCTTGGTTTAGCCTGTATCCTAGTATGAGCTTAGGCTGTTCTCTGGGAAGCCTCCAAAAAATGGCCTCAGGGCTGTTATCAGCTGTGAATTATTAAAAACACTCTGGATACTTGCCCAGTTGGAAATGGATCAAGCCAATAAATTCACTTCATGTTGAACTATGGTAAGAAAAATAAGTGTTTTCATTATAAACTGTCTTGACAAAGTTTTGTGAAAACAGCACCTGTAGCTTCCTGCCTAGGACTGGGGAAATGCCGTGGCAGGGTTGGAGAAGGGACAGAGACATAAATTCAGATTTTTTTAGAAACAGGTAATTTTAATTTTTCTTCAGAAAAGAGCAATGAAAATATTCCCTGAAATCACTGCCATAGTTTTGACTATTTTCCACTGAAATTTAGTATATTATTTAAATGAGAAAAGTAACAAAAATATATTATGCTTATACTCAGTATTTTGTGCTGATTATGTATCAGCAACTACCTAGAAACATTAGCAATTGCCATCTAATTCTGCATTCTAAAATAAATGCATTCTACAACAGTAGAAACTGCACTTGAATTAAATTAGGTACTGAAAATATGTACGACTGTCCTTTATAACACTTAAAGATTAGTTTTCTTTATTCACCATGATGTTTACCTTCTATCATGCAATTCAGAAATTAAAGACCACACCAGTTCTACACAATCTCTTCTAAGTACCTCTTTTAAGACTGCACAGTGTACAGTTTCAGCACACTATTAGTAAGATTATAAATTTTAAAACAATAAACTGAATTCTTAAAAAATTACATAAATTTCACTACAGCTTCCTGTGAGTTATACCTCAGCTGAGAATAGACTAATTTACTAGAGAAGAAAAAATGTCTAAGAAAAAGGTATTTTTTATTAAGAAGATTAAATGGAGTCTGCGAAGCCAGGATTAGATTAAATATTAGGAAGAAATTCTTTACTCAGAGGGTGGTAAAAAACTGAAACAGATTGCCCAGAGAAGTTGTGGATGCCTTGTTCCTGGAAGTGTTCAAGGTCAGGTTGAAAGGGGCTTTGAGAAACCTGACCTAGTGACCAGCACCCCTGTCCAAGGCAGGGGGGCTGCAGACAGATGATCTTTAAGGTCCAATCCAACACAAACCATTCTATGATTCTTTTATTTTATTACATAACTGTTCCATATTATGTTAGGAGCAGCATTTTTTTCTCTTTAAATCAAGTTACAGCAATTGAACTTAGCTCTATTAATAAAATAACCAAAGATCACACAGTTAGTAGGATCTTTAATATAAAAAGCAAATAAATAAACAACAAAATACTAATGATAGTTCTTGAGTGGTTTTACTTAGACACTAGTGCAACAATGACTTGAACAAGAGGTAATAGACCAGAGATTCCTTTTGTTTCCATATCAGCAATAAATAAAGCAAATAATTAACAGCCTTCAAAACAACATTTGTCCTTCAGTTTTAATCAAAACCACAAGGAGCAATGACTGCACAGTGAGACAACTCAGCACTGTGGCAATGCTGTGTTGAGGTCAAGTTAGTGCTTCAGAACAACGCAAGGCAAAGCTGAGGTGGGCAAACCCATGGGCCACATTGGTGCTACCAAACCTGGACACCAAAAGCCACCCCAGGGGTGCCAGACAGCCAGGACCCCACTGGCAAGCTCCTGACGGGCCACACGTGCAGCCTGTGCAGCTCTGCTCAGGTGCTCCCCAGGAGGACCTAGGGAAGCTTTCCATGATGGTACGGGATTGAACTGAAAAAGTTCAATTTAAAAGTAGACATCCACTTCATGATCCCGTGAAAAACATGTGGAAGGAAAAAGTCCCGAGTGAGCAGCTGCCCACTTCCCACATGTTGCTCTCCATCTTGGTTCCCCCAAGCACACCTGAGTGAGTTTCTCAGAATATATTACTCATTTCTTCTCACTCCTGGGCTTGGAGGTCACAGCCCTCCTTGACTCCCTCAAGACTCTTCCAAAGCCCTAAATCAAGTTTGATGGACAATCTTTTGCCAGTAATATTCTTCAGAATGGTAGGGAAAGGCCACAGGGAAGGAGGCTGAGGTGTGGAAACACATTCAGGACAGAAC